GCATCCTACAGGAAGCTGAGGAAGTTCAGGAAAAAAAAAATGACACAAAATCAGATACAGAAAGAGAATTGGGTAAAGAGGCTTTGCTCATTGTTGATACGACTCAGAGGATCTCCTGGCAAAAAGAGGACTCCACCTTGTCCTGGGATTCTGAGCCCCAGATTGCCAGAGAATTAATCTGGATTTAGGAATGTTGAGTGTGGTTGGAAGGAGGGAAGATGACAGTGGGTAGGACAGGGTGGTCCAAACCATCTGAAGTCCTAAGTCAAGAAGAGCAATCACAAAGCATTCTGTCTCCCCTCGTGGACTGGACACCTGAGGTACCAGCACCCCGGGAGGTGCTTGGGGTAAGAACTCATTCACTCAGAATGAAAGCCCACAAATTTTAAATAGAAAACAATGTGTCTGGAATACGATTTCTTCTGTTCTAGTGAGAAGTTAAGCAGGAAGTGAAAGATGAAGATGTGATTCAGTTCTGCACAGCACAGCTGAGGAGCAAGGCAGCATCTATTCAGGTAAAAGCAGATGGTAGAAAAGAAATGTGGAGCACCTGCAACTCTAATCTACACAAACTCAAAGGCAGCCTCCAGAGGGGGTGGTCTGTGTGGAATAAATAGAAATGTTAGAGCATCATAAGCCAATGACAAGAAGATGGGAGTCAAAGGAATTGAATTCAGCAAGTCTGATTTATCCCACCACTGCCCTCCCACTATTTCAAGCCCCCTTCTCACTGCACGAGCTCGGTGGGTACAACCACAACACACCAGAGCCCATCAGGTGCCTGATTTGCAGGGTTGCAATCCACTACAAGGTTACACCAGGGCAACCCAGGGAGACAGAAGGTTTCACTTTTCAAATCCACAGAGGTTTTAGCTGGAATTGACCCTTACAGGAAAAGTGAGCTCCCAACGAGACTTAAGAAAGTACCTGGCATTGAGAGGCTTCCAGGGAGACCAGGGGCTGAAAGGCATCTGGGGGAGTGCCCATCTCTGCTTGTGAGGAGAGATAAGTTCCTTCAGAGCCCCTGTTATCTAGGATTATTCACCTTTAATGAGTCCTCCCATCTCCCTCACTTCCTGACCTTTCCTGGCATGTGACCTTGTGCTACACACTTTTGCTTACCAGGGTTTCCTCTGGTGACACCCCTTTGCTCTTTCTGAAGACAGACACTTTCTCTGTCTGCATTTCCATGGGATCCCTGCCGTGCCCTCCCTTTGGTGCCTCTCAGTTTCCACTTGCAGAAGTCCCTGAGCTGGAGGATTCAGGTGCCCACCAAGGAGGACAAACCCCTGGGGCTGAGCACTGACCTGGCTGAATGCTCCATGTTCAGGAACTGGCCCACAGTTCTCCCCCTGGCTCTGCCTCACACCTGCTGAGCCACTTTGGGCCATTTCTCCCCTCTGGCTTTCTTGGTTTCCCCATCTGTAGAAAAGGGCCAGCCTCATTATACCCCCCCACCCTCCAGTATAAAACATCCTGAGATCTTTGGAAGACAAACTGCACTGCAAGCCAGGCACTACTGTTATTAGGGCTCTGGGGTGGCACACAGACACTGGCAAGAGACACAAAAGCAACATAAATCCAAGGGCAAGGAGAGCAGACAGGGCAATAAAGCACAAAAAATGAAGAAAGAAGGGGAAAAAAATCTAGTGAAAACCAGAGTACAGCACTGGGATATTACTCTCATGGCCTAAGTATCTATGGAAGGATAACACTATTTTGAAGCAGTGTTAACAAAATCCAGTTGTCCACCTTCTCAGTCTTTGTGTTCCTAGAGGCCTGTAGTTCTGTAGCTGCTCCCACCTAACTCCACACATAGAAAAGGCTTTTTGGATGGTCTGGTTTATAAATATATTGACTGCCTACAGCTCAAGGAGGCAAAGAGATGCTCTATCACCTTCTAAGATCAGCCAGGATTATCCAGTAAGCACAAAAAAAGCTTGGCTGCAGACCTGAAGGGCAGTGAACTAAACCAGTATTTCTGTAACTGCATATGTAGTGCTCTGAAAAGGAAGATCAGCACAGAATTACAGCATCAGCCAGAGCTGAGAGAGGCTGGAACCAACACATTCTGTGTGTGTTACTCTACAGTGCTCCTGAGCAAGCAGCACTTGTGCTCCATCTGTCAGTGTGTCCTCTGCTGTCACAGGATCCTTGCTGCTCACACCACCACCTCCTGCTCCTTTCCATTATGGATGAGGCTGGAGTGTCCAGGGATTTTTCTGTACAGGGAGTTGCAGCGTCCCTCCAACCAGTTTTCATTATATCTCTTGGGCAAAGAGCCACTTGTATCTCAGGATTAATGTAAAAGAAGACAAAAATTCAAAGTGTGTCTTTGCAATTCCTAAGGAACCAGTCCCCTGTGCTCTCCAGAAAGCATCAGGAGCTGAGAGTGTATGGATTGGCTTTTGAATGTTTGGAGGGAGAGAGGTACCAGACTGGCTGTACCTGCAAGGAATGGGGTATGGGATGAACAGAGGGTCAAACACTACCTTTGGGGATTTCTTTCCCCCTTGCTGTTTGACTTTTCAGAATCATCTCCTCCTAAAAAACGGGTGCAACTTTGTTTCTCAGTTAAAAGGATTTTTTAAATTATTTATTTTAAAGCCTGTTTGATAAATGGTATGAACTGCCAGCAAATACTACATTTCACTCCCCCTCATTAACATTGTAAATTAATTTAGGACTCATTTAGATGCAGGATTAACAACCTGAGGACTCACCCACTCTTTATTCAGAGGGCATCCTCAGGATGAGCAGAGTTTTGTCTCACAGCACTCAGTTAGTTCAGCAGGACCATCTCTGGGGAAGCAAATGGTATTTGTGTCCCTGCTTGCAAAGGAGCTGCTCAAGGTTAAGGCAGAGGTGTGGGAGACACCAGTCCTGGCCCAGCCCTGCTCCAGGTCCCTCTGCCACCCTGGGCAAGTGCTTTTACACTCTGCACCCATTTTCCCTGATTTGCACTTTGAGAGAGGTCAGACTTGGAGAACAGAGCAAAGATTAAAAGCAGTGTTTGTGGTGGTGTAGGGCAGCATCTTTTATTCCTCCAGGGTTAAGGGGACCTGGGCCATGGGCCAGCTGCCAACACAGAAATTTGCTAAGCTGAGTATTACATTTAACACATTTTCAGATGTGTGCCCCTACCCTTACTCTTATGTGAAATGGTGCTTTATTTTGTGAGCACTCTTTTCCTCTGATGGCACTGTGATTAAGGCATTATTATCTATATTGCAGGAGCAAAGTCAAGCCCTCAGTTTTCAGATCAGAAAAAAAAACACCCATCAAGAGAAAATACTGCTTTCCTTAAAGCAACAATTATCAGTCAGAAAACTCTTGACACACTCAAGAGCAATCCTGCAATATCTCAGTGATGCTGTTTTCAGATGCCCTGTGTGTTTGCTGGAGAAATAAATAACATTTCTTGCAATTAACAAATGAATGCCCTGTTGAAGCTTAGCTTTTACTAGCTGTCCATAAATCATCTGCAGAAGCATCTCGTCCACTGAGGGGAATGAAGATTAAATACAAGCTTTGGCAAGTGTCCTTTCACCACCAGAATATTTTCTTGCAGGCACTTTGTGTCTAACGCTACGTTGAGGCCCTGCTCCTCTGAGCACAATAAATAAACACAAATGATTGCTGCAGAAAGGGGCCTGACAGACAAGCAGTGCCACTTTGGGCAGAACTGATTGATGCTCCTTAGAATCAGTGACACTTGCCCAGCTCAGCCCGTCCTGGCCACGTGCTGCACACACCAGCTCAGCTGAGCTCTGCCCACAGGGGCAGCACTTGGGCAGGTTTAACACAAACTGGTATTAGTTGCTTGTGTCACAACATTTACCAGGAAGCTGCAGCCCCAGATGAGGACCCTGCTGTGCTGGGGAGGAGGTGCTGCAGTGCTTCCCTTAGCTTGAAATCAAAGACCAATTGATGGAGCTCCAGAACCTTCTCACCTCTGGTGTGATCTTAAAGAATGAGGGATTTTATACAGTCCAGTGTTTGCCACAGTTCCACAGACCAGCTCCTGACAGCAATTTGGTATCCACTGTGATAGCATGGGAAAACGTGTCTTTCTGGCACACTGTTCAAAACCTGATTGAATTCTCCTTTTTTTTCAGAGATGTAATTGTTCCAGAGTGGTTCCCTCAGACAGACAACAGTGACAAGACAACCACAGCACCACAAATCTGAGACTCCAACTAATAATTCTGCAGGAGGTTTCCAAACCAGACTGTTTCCTTAAAATACTGCATTTTCTCTCTGGCTACTCCTTTCAGCTCTCCATAAGGATCAAATGTGCTGCCAAGAGACAGCACTCAGTGTCATCACACCCAGCACAGGGACACAGCCACTCCTCCAAGCCACCTCAGCACCAGAGGCCAGACAAGCTGGGTGTGTCCTGGGGTTGTGCAGCTCTGTCTGCAGGGCTCTGTGACATTAAAATCCCTGGACATCAGAACTGCAATAATCCTTCCTTAACCACAACCAGACACATGTCTGAAGGCAACAGCACCCAAGGGCAGTTGTTAATCCATGAGTTCCCATGGATGCAATGACTGTTAGCCCTGCCTGCAGCTTTCAGCCTCAGGTACTTGTCCTGATGAGTTTTATATTTTCAGGCCACTGTCCATTCAGCAGATTCTCTGTAGAGCACGTGAAGGGCATCATATATCACACTCTTTACCACCCTAAAGCAGTGAGAACAACAGGATCCTGCTGTTGGTTTCTCATTTCTAGGGGAAGTAGCCATCTCCTAGTTGAATTTAGTTGTCAAATAATATCATTAGGTTTGTTTGCTTTTGGCCCATTCTACACTCAAGTCATCCTGAGCCCCCACCTCCTGCCCAGCAGCAAATCAAAGCTAAAAAAACCCTCATGTTCATTCACCTTCCTAGTAAGAGTGTATTTATTCACCTTCCTAGTAAGAGTAAATTCCACAACCAAGAGACACAGATAGGAACCCATAAGCACCCTTTGGAGAAGAGGACACTCACTCTTACCTGTCTGTAACAAACCAGCCCCGCTGTCTTTGACTCCAAAGTGCTGCTGGATGTCCAATAACACACCTACAAGGAAAAGAGAGAGCTTTAAATACCAGGATTTCAGACACATAACTTCCAAAGTTTGCACACTGGCTTCTTTCTTACACATGCACACTCAGTAATTTTGGGCTATTACAAGAAAAACACAGGTAGGCAGATATAGGATCATACAAGGAGTTTGGGAATTAAATTCTCGTGAATGAGAAACTGGTCTTTCCTTTCTATTTAAATAAGAGCAGAGCTTTCTTTTTGTGTGTTTTCTGCAGAATGCAGACCCTTTGCTTCTGTTATTTGACAGAAATCCAGGGAAACTGATTCTGCACCTTCAAATGGTTTGACAAGACAGACTGAATCCAAGACAAGTTTTAACACATCTCTGTTGGAAGGAGATATGATACACTGATAGGAGCAATGATGGAAGTTTTCATATTTAACTACTTCTGGGGAGTTCTTACTTTCAAAACAAATGCAGCAAACAAATTTAAAAGAGCTTAGTAAAAGTGACCAAATGTTTAACTTCAAAGCAGCTACACAGAGAATCAAATCAGGGAAGAGAAGAACCTCCAGCTCAAATTCTGATCCAAGGCTTTATCCAAAGTGTTTCTGCTCATCACTGCAGGTCACAGGAATCAACTGAGCATCAACCTGAACTCACTCACCACAAATATCTTGTCTTTTGGGACTGCCAGGATCACACTTAATGACAAACACCCAGAGATAAAACAACCAGAGATAACTATTCCCAGAAGACATGTGAGACAATGCCAAGAAAACAGTCATAAATTAAAGGTACTAAAGGGAAAAAAAAATGGAGAGAAGGAAAAAATAAGTAAGAAAGCTCGTTTGAGCTATTCTGTACTACTTGTACCTCGCCATTTACTCAGGGCAGCACTCAGGTGGGCTTTAGACCATTGGGATCTGCTCAGAAACATCAGTGCAACCTCCTGCAACATTCCCCACTTCCCTGCTCTCTCATCAGACTGTTTAGCCCAGAGCAGACAAAGCTGAGGGTGGGGAAGGGTGTGAATCTTATCGATGTACAGCAGTGCTGATAGCACAGGGGCAGGGCCAGGCTCCTCACCCTGCTGCCCAGTGAGGGAGGCAAAGGGCACCAACTGAAATCCAGGACATTCCATTCAAACATAAGAAAGAAACCTTTTTACTGTGAGGGAGGTCAAACTTTGATGTCCAGAGAGGCTGTAGGTTCCCAGCCCTGCAGATATTCAAAACCAACAGGACACAGTCCTGAGCAACCTGCTCTAGTTGGCCCTGCTTTGAGCAGGGGGCTTGGGCTAGATGAGCTCCAGAGGTCACTCCCAACCTCAATTACTCTGTGATTCTATAATTTCCTGAAGCATTAAGTGCCTGATTGCCTCCAGCCTGACACAGTGTTCCCCTGGCCCTTCTTTTCTTTTCTTTTTTGGAGCATTGCTGTCTACTGTAATTCCAACAGGAATTTCTTTGCTTTCTCTCACATGGCAGATTTAACTCCATTTACAAAGTGCCCTGGCATTTCTTTGCTGTGCTTCCCTCATTTGCTCCATTAATAACTGGGATATCATTATCCAGGTTATATCTGATGAACAAAAATGAATTTGCATTTGCCTAGCAAAACCCTCCATGGCTTAGCTGACTTACCTCCTCCCCTTGGTGTCCTACCCTTCCACAAAAAAAAATAATTAAAAAAAATGTTTCTTTTGCAACCCAACCTTCAAACCTCACTTGACTTAACCAGCTCTGAACACCTGCACTTTGTGCTCCTTTCCTGCTTGGTCCCAGACTGCCCACGTCAGGTGGAGCTCAGCAAGTCAAAACGACTTGTGGGCACCATAATCCCAATTTTATGGACAATAAACCCATCAAGGACAACATGGAAGGAGGAGGAAACACTGAATACAGTGTTTTCTCATGCTCTCCTATCATCACTCAGTTGTGCAGAGAAACTAAACACCCTTTTCACTCCCTGCAGCTGAGCAAGGGGGTTGGACTAGATGGAATACATTCCATGGTGGGATACACACACACACATGAGGCCAAAGCTCCCTCCACCACCCTGAAAGGTGCCCACCCTGCCTACAGCACATATTCCCAGCCATGCCAGAATGCCAGGAGTCACATTAAACCACAAAAACTGTGAGGAACAGGAGCCTGGGATGTGATGGAAAACATCGACTCAGAAGGAAGATTTTTGTGGACTTGCATCATAAACCAGAACAGAAAGTACAGGAGAATATAATGATGCCTACACAAACTGGAGGGTTTCCAGTTTGTGACAAATTATCTGTCCAGTGACAACAGCTTCACAGTCCTACAGTGATTCTTCACACAACAGACCACAGTGTGTCTTACAAGCTTCAACTCCTGGAACCACAAATAAAACACATTTAGGATCCTGACAAGCAGCCACCTTGGGTTAATCCTACAACCTCGTTCTGGCAGTGGAAAGTGGGTTCTGTGGAGAGTCAGAGCAACAGGACAATGAAGAACCACAATTATAAGTCCTGTGTGAGCTTGGAAGAAGGTCTCAGAAGATGAAGAGAGATCTGCATGTCTAATAGGCATGGATTTCCTCCTCTAAGGCTATTTCATATTCTCTTTGGACTACAGGTGTTTTGATTTGGGTTTAGAGCATTCAATTAGAGGCAGCAGCAGGCAGATGATGCAACACAGCCATGAAGTGATAGTAATTCCTCTGCTGTGGGAGTTTTCCTGCTCAGCACACTCCTGTGGGGAGACACTCCTCCTCCTTCCTTAGATTTACTCAGCTCTGTTTCCACCTCGCCGTGGCAGTGACTCAGCCCAGACTTTAATAAGATTTAGGGATGCAATTAAGCAATGATAGACCAGGGGAGAATACAGGAAAATGATAGAGCTTTTGACTTTCCCTTCTGCTCGTCTGTGCTGGGAAGGCAGAGGGCTGGAGCCAGGCCCCAGACGATGTTTTGCCTGCAGAGATGTGCTCCAGGTGTCTCCCAGCACCTGACACAACCCGAGGAAGCCAAGCCAAGCCTCCACATGTGGCTGGCAAGGCCTTGCTTGGATCAAAGCTCATCCCTGTGTCCCAGGAGGATCTCAGAACAGCCCAGAGCAGCCAGCAGGCACCAGCCTTCCCCCAGACAACCTCTCCAGAGGGCTGCTGGCCATTGGGGATGTCTGTGTGATTACAGGGCACAGGGTGTGATAGCACCTATTATTTCTTAAGCACATTCTGTATTTTCTCCCAAAGTACCTCACCAGCTGAGCCAGACTCTGTTAATGCTGACGTAGAGCTTGGAACTCGAGATGAAACCCGGGCAGCACCAGCCAGGAGTGCTGATCAAGATGGGCACAGAGACAGGGCTCCCTGGGACACCCAGAGTGAGCAGGGACTGGTTCCTGCAGCCCTTTCTAGGCCTGCTGTCCAAGGACCTGACAAAGGAAGTTACAGGAGCAGCAGTTACAGGACTTTTGGGGGCACTGGGCACGGAGAGGACTTTTAAGAGCAATTTGGAGGATAAAAGGGCTTTGGGTGTGGAGTGTTAGAGATAGGGAGGGCACAGTCAAGTAAATGGGAATAGGAACCTGGCTGACCTAATCCCCTCACGGGTCAGAGGGTGTCCAGGGTACTGCTGACATTTTTAATGACCATTTCACCAACACTGAACACAAAAGACCTAATTCGGAGGCTTTTGGAATGCAAATCCACATTTAATGGCCCAAGTTATCTCTGATTTAAGGGAAATACTTTGGGAAAGGCAAATTTTCCTGGAAATGTGTGGTTCACACTTAGAACAGGGGGGCAGGTGGTACAAATAAGGCACGACCATATAGGTTCTGTGTTCCTGACCAGAGCTACAACAACTTAAAAGCTGCAGGATTCAACAGGGGCTCTTCACCCATTTACTGCTGCCTGAACACATGAATACAGAGTAAGAAACAGTGTTCATAAGCTAAACCACAATGAAATCACATTTTCAAAGCAAAAAGACATTAGAGCTTCCCTGGGAGAGCCCCATTTTCCAGTCACCAAAACAAAACATCCTGATTTGGTTTCGAAGCAGGTGTAAAATGTAGAGTTGGTCTGTGCACAGAGTGCAGAGCTACAGAAGCAAAGCCACAGGTTCTCAGCTCACCCAGCCTTGCCTCAGTAAAGCCAGTGCACATTCTTTAAGCACTGAGTGTGTGTGTGCTGCAATACCTCTGGCCAACCTAACCACTTACTTGAAAAGCATGTGCATTTTTAAAGGTATTTTTTAATGGGGAAAAAGGATGGTGGCTTGAAGGGAACCAGCACAGAGTTTTCCACAGGATGCAGGCCAGGCACTGACAGCAATTGTGTGCCCCCAGCACCCTCCCTCCTGCCCCACTGCAGGCCTGGACCTCTCCCTGGGGAAGCCTCCAAGGAGGTGCTGGAGGACCCAGATTCACTCAGCCCTCTGATAGCCCAAGCAGACTCTGTACTGACAGCTCTGTTTCTTCCCCTACCTCTTGCCACCTTCCTCAGGAAGGCATTTTCCTTCCCAGACTGTGTTCCCCTGGTGCTTCCAGGACCAGCTCTCCCAGGAGGAGGTAACCAAGCAGGGATAGCCAAGCCCTGGCCTTCTAACCATTAAAGGCATCCTACCACCAGGCTCTTCCTCATGCCTGCAGCCATATCCAGCCTTCTTCAAACAAAGCATTAGGGAGGCAGAGGAGTGGTGCACACACCTGTCTGTTCAGAGACATGAGAAAAGATTAGGTGGAGAGAAGTTTATTCTGAGGTCTCTGTGATTACATCTTCCCTGCAACCCCAAGGTGTGACAGCACTTCACACCCTGAGCCCTGAGCTTCAAACGAGCTGCCTTCAGCTCAGCCACCCACTGCTATTAAACACCAGCGTCACCACTGGGGCCCTGTTTCAATATTCAGCCACAGAAAACCACCGTGGTGGCCCTGCTGATTGTTTGTAGCTCGAGATAAATTCCCACTGCTGCCAGAACTTGTAGCAAGTCTAGAAGAATATAAACGAAGCACCACCACCTCTGGATTGCCATGAAAGCGTTCCCTGCCTGCTGGTGGGGTATTGATAAATGTGTGGTGACGTCTGGCTCACAAACACCGCCAGGAGCTTCCTTGGGACACAAACACCGA